CTAACTGTAGTCGCGACGTATAAACCACCCAACATAAAAATAAAACTACCTATTATCAATAAATTACTACAATTGACAAATCCTTTCATCCTAGTAGGAGATCTAAAACTTCAAAGCATTTCTACGCTTGTGGATGTCGGACACAAACCCTGCGCCCGTGAAATACTTAAACAGAATAACAAAACACCAATGCAGCTTAAAATACTTACGCCCACAGAACCAACCATTTCCCTTATTGATCCCAAAAAAACCCAGATTATACTAGATATAGCAATAACCAAACTTGAAAGACCCATTTTACTCCACAGTTCATCATGAATTAACTCAGACCATATTCCTGTTGTTATTAACAAACTGAATCTAACAAAGCTCCATGCCCCCCTACCCTCTCACGCTTAAATACTTACAATATAACTGGATTATTTCCAAAAACTCTGTTGAAAAACAATGACCAAAATTTCAACCCTCAATGGCTCCCATTGAAATTATCAAAAAAAGCAATTACTAAGATTTAAATATATAATATCAAAAACAATCAAATGACTCTCAATATAAAACACTTAGACACCAGAAGGAAACTTTAAAAGACCACTGACCTCCCAGATTACTGAAACTAATAAAAGTTAAAAATAAAACCAGGAAGCTTGGAACACTCTTAAAAAATCCCAGAACTGAAAAAAAAGATATAAACCACTAACAAATATCTGCAGAAAGGCAATAAGTAATACAACCAAGAAAATATAATATCAATTTATTGAGGGGACTAAATATTAAAACCAATTCTTCTTTGGCAATTCACAAAGAAAGTTTTTAAGGAAAAGGAACAGCATTCCCCACCTGTCAACTGAAATTGGGGAGAAAAAAAAAAAAAAAATACTCGCCCTATGGAGAAAGCTGAGAGTCTAGGCAGCCCATTTTTGCTAGCAACATTCACTCCTAATGAACTACATTAAAAATATCCCATAAGCATTTGATGAAATATTAACATTTTCAAACGCTCATTTATACAACGTTCCTCACCAAATTAAATTCATCTCTCCCTATTGAGTTAAACAAATAATGAAAAAAATGCTAAAATACAAAAATCCCCAGCGTCTCGATGAATTAATATCTATCTCATTCTCAAAAGATTACCAAACAAGTGCCATCGCATTTTAAACAATAATATACAAACTCACATACTAAGAATAGTTATTAATCCCCAATCAGGAAACACTCAAAATACATCAATAGAAAACCAAATAAAAATCATTCACGTGCAGAAAATTATAGGACCAATCAGTCTTTTACCCATCATGTCCAAAATTTTAGAAAATTAATTCTCACAGACTTAACAAACATGTAATAAAACTAACTCAATTCCACCTATCAATTCCGTTTCATATCCCAACACTCAACGACGCACCAGCTATTGAGATAACTGAGCACATCCACTCTGCTTTCCAAAAGGGATTTCACCCACCACTGATATTTCTAGATGTGTCACAAGCATTTTGATAAGAATATGGCATCCAGCCCTTTACTTCAAATTAGTCAAAATCGGTACACCCAAAGTATTTATCAATCATCAAAAATTTATTTTCTAACAGAACTTTCTCGATAACAATAGATGGTCATTGTTTCAACCCAAAGAAATTGCTGCTGGGTCCCCCAAGGTTCGCCGCTATCTCCAACTCTCTTTATCTGTACACTCAGACATTCCTATTCCCATCAAATAAATACTGCCCAATTGCCGACGACCTGCTTTATGTATCTCCGGCAATCATTACAAACTCACCAATTCCAGCTCCAACAGCATCTAAATCTAATAACAAATTGGGCAAATAACTGGAAAATTAAATTAAATCATCAAAAATCAGTAGCAAAAGTCTTCTCCTAAACCTGTGTGCATAATGCCACACCCGCATACTTATAAAATTGAATAATCCTAATCCTTCTCCTCTTTGTGGCGTGCACTAACACTAAACACGCACTTCCGTCAACTTAATACTGTTTAGTACTAGCACTGAAAAAATTTCCACCACTGTTCTGCGAAACGATCGTAGCGATGTTGCTCGGTCGAGAGCGCAGAGCGAAGTGTATTAGTATTAGTAGTCGTATTTCTAGCATTAAATAATTCAGGCCCTGTCCCTGTTGCCCATGGGTTTGGTATTGGTTTGACCCTCTGTGAGTGAGAATGAAAATTACCGCGTTTGGCTGTTTCCTTGAGTGCTCGGCAACCCCGGTAGTTGGTGGTGTGGTTACCTTGGCAATTACAACAAACATGGGGTAAACTTTTTTGCACTCTGAATAATGGTGCTTACGAGGGAATCTAACACATCTAGGTTCTAAATAACAGCCTGCGTATACCATATTCTTTGGCATTTCTTACATTGAATAAATTTGTTATTTACTTGGTCCTGGAATCTTACAATAGAATGATCGAAACGATTAAGATGTAAAATGTTCTAGAATTAGTTTCGTCCTTTAGTTCCACTGCACACATATTGATAGGCATTTTATCTTTATTATATAATCTACACACTTTTGAACATTATATTTTAGTTCTGTTAGACCATAATACATTTCTTGCGTCGAATATGAGTAGAAAATGGCTTTCATTAATACTGAAAGAGTTTTTGTTAGGTCTCTGAAGAAATGATATGTGATTTGTTTTGATAATTAAATTTGTTCAAAGAATTGGTTGTCTCGACCGGGACTCGAACACGGGCCTTTGTTTTGTTTCTAGAATTTTTTTGAAATTTCGGTAATCTTCAATTTCTATTAAATTGATTTTTACTCCATTGTTTTCTAATCGGGTGTTGAAATTCCCTTGGGCTGTTTCTTTGATGTCTTGTAAGCTTAAGGGAAAGTTTTCTGCATCGTGTCCTATAATTGGAGGTATTTTCATTTTTTTCGGCAGCTTATTTGCGTCTGAATTTACTGCATTGTCCTCTTCACTCACTAAATTCTCTTGTACTGCATACCTTGAATGGATTGGAACATTATAAACATAGCCAGAAGTTTCAAAATCAGTCTTTTTCCTTTTACCCTCGTTCAATGGTTTACTTCAGTTTGATGACCAGTATTTGAACTTGAATCTATGCAATGCTCGCCCCCCTTGCCAGACGTTCTTGTACCTGTTCGATTCCGGAGACTCCGGACCTATTTCTTCACTTTCCGAGGAACCTATTTTATCCACACCTTTATGGACCATTTTTTGCTGTTGGGGGCTCATTTTTTCTTGAACTGTATGTTGATATGCTGCATGTAGAATCGCTGCTGGAAGTTGACTAACCGGTGTCCACACTAGTTACGGACTTGCACTAGATTTGGATTTTGTACAAGGTCATGCTGAACCCCTGAGCACTGTTTTGCATTAAACTGCCACTTGAATACTTATTACTTAATAACTAACTCACCAGTTGGAAAATTAAGTAGTTTTATGGAAGCAATTAGCTGCTTCGTTTCGGGGCTGCTACTCTGTAACACTAACACAACCTCTCCTTCACTGACTGCGAATGTACTGAAATCGCGGGAATGAGCTCGTTAAAATGAGTTGATCACCTGGCCACTAGAGAGCAGTAAGTGGTCAGAGTCGCGTAGAGTTCCTGAATATAGTCCCTGGATATATGCAGGGATTCCAAAAGTCGCACTAACGCTTTTACGCTTTACACATGAAATGGATTTGGCGAGATTTAGATTTTAAAAAAATAATATCGTTTGTTGTTATTTTTTATTTATATTTTTACTTTTATTTTTCTGTGCCTATGCAGTGTTTTACATGCGATTCCACCAAGTTGGAAAACGGCCGGGTTACTACTGATAGTTTCCTTTCCCGACGCTAGTAGCGCTGAGAATCTCCTGGCAAGAAACGATGCCACGAAGCGTACCACTGCCCCGATAAGAGACCTTGACATCACTGGCTTAAAACGTTGCGAGGAAATCACGTAACCATTATCATCAGAAAAATACTTTTTGCTCAATGTTTTGGACTAAATGGGAGTAGTTGTAAATTGTAACGGCTGTGTGTACAGCTGACAATAAATTAGAATACTGCCACTTTCGCTTGAGTTACATTTGTTCGATTGGAGCTGCCCACTAATTTAATCATAATATAAAGTTAGAATATAAATCTCGTATTTGATATGGTTTCGGCCAAATATGCCCCATGAAATACATGGTATATTCGGGTGGCTTGTGTACAGAATATATTACGCTATCACTTATGTTGCATACAGAGATGCTACTAGTTAAATTAAGATATTCAGATTCTCTAGTTATTTAGTTGATTATGGTTGTTATGAATCATTTTGAAACGATTCAAATTTAATAATCTAGAATTTCTAAGAAATGTCAGATTTGATATACAAACATTTCTTTCAAATAATTATTTTTAATTGACTGCCTTACTAGTTAATTGAATACTGAGAAAATGTAGAAAATAATTTTGCTGTATAGTTAGTACTTTTGATATTAACCTTATTTTTTGCATTCATGTATTTATTTAACGTAATACACTAAAAAAATGTGTGGTGTACTATAAAAAGTGCAATCTGTGCCTTTTTTCTTGTGCTCTGAGATCCCTACCCTGACTCAATGCTCTCGCAGAATAAATGTCACAAACTTCGAGGGTAGCTGGAGGGACTTGGATAATAACTTGTGGTGGGAATAGAAGTTTTCAAATGAAATTTGCTCCTGATTTGTAGGCAGCCCGTCATACATTGGTGTTTGGTGGGAATACGAAATCTATTTGGTTGTGCCAGAACGAGACCTGCCAAAAACGTATAAATGATAGGATGCCTACCAATTATAGACAAATGTCACAAGTGTAACATATGTCTATGAAATTTCTAACTACAATTTCCATAGGCAAAAGTTATCATCTTTAACCACCTACAGGGCCTTAATTTCGAGAGATTATCATAGCAAGTTGAATTATGAGTACGGGTAGCAAGAGCGTTTTTGGCTAGAATTCAGAAGAAAAATAATATGCAGAATGTTCCCTTTTCATTTTGCAGCCCGTGGTGTACGCATTTTGACCATGGATCACTCCTTCTTCACTGGTTACCGGAGAAATGTTATAAAACCTGATGAAGTACTTGTGAGAATTATAGTGCCATTCACAGCACAGGTATGTTATTCTGTGTCGTCTTCTTTTTTGTTCATATGTGATGATTTTCTAAAGTGTAGTAAATTCTTTTAAGTTTAATACTATCTAAATAGTGCAATTTATATTAGAATATACAGTTTTTAATATTTTGTACATGTTTCTGCTGTATGAGATTAGCATTGTTTGAATTTTTGTAAATCTTAGGGACCCCTTCAACAATCAACACTAGTTTTATTTAACCTTTTATTATTTGCATGATCTAATCCGTTATTACACTCATTATGGAATGAAAAACAGTACTCCTTTCTCTTTTCTTTTTATTTCTCTTAATTTCTATTCATATTAGGCCAGCTCAGGTACTTTTTATCTGTCTAATTGAAATCCTATTAAACACGTAATCGTAATACTCAAATATCTCAGAGCTTTATTTCTTGTATGCTTAAAAGGGTAGACCAACTGATAGAATATTTGGTTGAAAGGGCTGGAGTTCTCGGCTGATAGAATATTTATTTGGGGAATTTATGATGGATGGAGACATTCTAAATTGATACTACACCAGAATTCATACTAATTACCCTAGTGCAACAATGTATCTCGACATTTATTTTCATATATCTTCATTGTAACAGCGTCACATTCGACATATATTTCAAGATGACATGTATCACACTTTTAATTGGTTCCCGTTCTTATTACTATTCAATAAAAACATTCACACTCTACAATATTCAACAAACACTCAAATCACTCGTACTTAGATATGTGCAATATTCACGTATTTTAAAAGTAATTAAATGGCCATTTACTAACCAAATCTATTTTAATGTATTCATTTTTGCTGCAATCTTGGCCTTCTACAAAGTTAGACTGCTTTTTACTTCCCTTTTTAAGATTACACAGCATACTTTTTAATTTTTCCATCTCGAACACTTCCTTTCTCGTTTTTTTTAACATCCACCCATTACCGTGCTTTTGTCGACCTATCACGATTTCCCATTCGCTATAACGCTTCGTTCATCTCTTATTACATTATTTTATACAAACAACGTATTTAACTAAGAATTCTCTTCTCAATTGCTTAAAATCTAATGAATGTTTTCATTGGGATACATATTATCAGGAAATAATAGTTGCTTTTAAAAAGTGGAGAGGACGAAAGAGGGAGGATAAGCAACATCTGCTTGTCAAATAGTATCGGACGCGTGTATCCAAGGCGGTGAGGAGATGCAACTTGCTTCAGCGAGAGTCGTGCCTCTCAACGGCATCGTGTAGTGGTTGAAGAGCGGTACGACTCGTAGTAGAGCGGAGCGACCATCATCCTCAAGAAGAGGAGCCCGCGCAGTGGGAGATCTTGGATCACCAACACCCAGCGATAAGCAGAAACTCCTAAAGACGAGCG